GGAGAACTCCACAAGAGAGGTGTGCGAGAGAAGAAGTTGTTAGCATAGAACTTGCGGTTACATCTAGCAAGTTTAATTGTAAAAGGATGAGACCTTGCCGCCAGTCTAGTATTGCGCTTAAATTCATAAAGTCTAGGTGCCATAGAGAGAAGTTCATCAGAACAATTATCATAAAAATATTTATAGAAAGGACACAGGGAAGCTATATTACGCAATGAAAAAGGGACTGAAGCCGATGTCAGGTCAGGATCAACAAGATTGCATCTCAGCTTCAATCACTTCAATTCAATGTGTAAAATACATTTGATGTGTATTGGAGAATAATTCCATGGACTAAGGCACTCTCGAGACATTTATGTCGGAATTACGGTGGGAAATCAACGCATTTGACGAATTATTTTGTAAAATATCCCTTTTGTGTTCATATAATGTTATTATAATATATAGATTCCCTGAGCTTTCTCCTATGTATTTTTTGTGACAATTACTACAGGCGATTCAGTTTTATTATTTGTTTAGTATTGACTTTTATTGTTTTGGATGTTCGAATAAGAAATTTTATGTTGAGTTTAGATAGATTCTTTTCGATTGTAGATGTGATAGAGTTAGTGGATAGGATAATATTTTTTTTTTATTCACTGGGTTTCACACGAAGGGTCATTTTTTGTTTTGAAATATTTTATAGGACTTTTGTTTTACATTGAATATAAAATAATTAGTGTACTGGAGAAGTTTGAACGTGTTTTCAATGTATTTCTCCTCTTCATGTAAATAATCCGAGCTGCATATTATTAGTGCTCTTAGGTAGAATCCGATGATTATGCCGAATTTTATTTTGTTGTTATGTTGGTTGATTTCCGGTGGACACCAAGTATTAAACTGTTAACGCAGTATAGTTTGATATCTCAGGTAAGGAATTGTGTTCTTACATTTCAAATGTAAATTCTGTTGTGTGTTCGACTTTATTTATTTCATCTATTAGGTCAGGTAAATCAGTATCACGAGTATATATAAGTAGATTATCATCAATATAACAGAATTATGTTGATTATATGAATAAAACATGCAAAAAAAATCGATAGCTGCATTCGTCACAAGTGGGAAAAATTTAAATCTGCATGGCACTTTACTCCAATTGGCTCATTCGCTTGCTTAAACTCAACGTTGGTTCTGCTTCCGCAGAACTGGGTTGCGTGTGAAAAAGTATTTGTTGTTAACATTCTTTTTTCATTCGGTTTTTCTAGTTACGAGTCCTTTTTTTAAAGCTGATCGTTTTGTGTTCATTTTGTTTAGTTCTTTTTTCGTAACAGATTTAATGTTTAGTATAGAGCTTAGAAAACATTTGCAGTGTGAGATAGGCAAGAAGTAAGGCATGTAGAAACATCAGCACGGCAAAGGGCACTCCTTTAAAGGCAAGGAAGGGTAAAAATATTTTAAGTCAAGTGATAGCGATTGCTGTATGAGTCGTACGGTTTTTGAATCAAGCACGGGCAACGCCGGGCTATGCTGCTAGTTAATTTATGTATAATTACTGTAAATATTTCTAATAAAAAATATATATATATATTGTGGTAGTATTGCTAAAGTTGGTTGTCGTAAGGGCGTACAGAGGTGGGCGGGGAGGAATAGGTGCATATTAGGAAGACATGTATGGCAGATAGTGATAGATCTTAGACTTGCAGAGTCTGAAATTGTAGCGATCGGGAAAGTAACCCCTCGGGAGTCTATTCCACGATACAGCAGTTCTGGGGATGAAGCTGTTTTAATGGAACTTTTTTCCTCGTGTCCTGAAGATATCATGACTTTTATGGTGAAAACATATTTGCATAATAAAATTAAATGAACCTGTTAAGTTTTTTTTTTCTTTATTATGAAATGCGGGTGTCAAAAAGTTGTGTGGATTTTTTTTCTGAAAGGAAACCATGAGGCCAATATATATAATTTCAATGTCCTTATTTATATCCACACACACAAAAATATAATGTCAGATACGCTCAACTTGATTCAAGTGAAGCTTAAAATGAGTCTGATTCTATTAAAGCTGTCACAAAACCAGACAACAAAATTCCTATCAATAATACACAACACACACACACATACACACGCACACACACACACACACACACACACACACACATATATATATATATATATATATATCAAATATGTGCTGCAATTCAATTTATATTACAATGAATCATTCATGCAAAAAGTAGATTAGTAAAGTTAATGATATAAAATGGCGAAATCCCTTCGCTAACAAATTTTAAAGAAGCATTAACCTTCCAATCACTCAATGAATGTTATAATCCTTGTTTTTCAAAATTAGCAACTGTATTAGGTCTCCCTTAAATATGTAAGTACTTTCGACTGTACATTCAGTCATCTTCAGACATAGAAATTATTTTGTTTTTGTTTTTGCTAAAATTCAGGTAGCATCCGAGACAAAAAATTATAATGCTTTTTTTTTTTTTTTTTTTTTTTTTAAAGTTGTCTGGAGAGAAGCTCCAGCGGCTTCAAATATGAACACACTTGACGCATTTGGGTTTCTTATTAATTCTCTTCAGATATGTGATAAATCTCGTTTTGTTAAATTCCTGAATTCAGCCTGAGACTTTTTTTTCCTTGGTTGAATTCCCATTTGACATATTTTCTTGATTGTTCGATGATCCCTTTTCAAATCCTTAGAAATTTGAAGCAAAGATTTTCCTTTGCTAATTTCTTTGATTATATAGTTCTTTTCATTCATTGTTAGTTCTTTTTTTACAAGCCGTAATACTAAATTCTAGTTCTTGTAAATAATCTCTTGACACTGCAAATTGCTATAATTACTGAAAAAATACTAAATATCAATCTGAAATTGAAAATTGGGACTTAATTGCTTTCATGCTTACTCAATATACATAATAATACAAATTATTTCATTGGATAACACATATCTATGAATTTTACATAAAATATTTGACAATACCTCTTTTGCATATAATCTCTAGACACAGTTTATATGCACTATAGGCGAATCGCCTGAAAATTGAATTTGCGAGCCATGTTGAAAACTAATTTAATATCTCATTTCGATCCAGAGGGACATTCTCAACTTGAAGGATTTTAGCATATACTAGCAGTAGAGCCCGGCGTTGCCCGGGGATGTAACAGTAAGAGATAGATCAAGTATCGACCATCGTAAAGACTGAAAAATAAAATTGACAAAGATTATTGTTTAAGATTGACGGATACGCATGTCTTAATTAGTTTTTTTGTTTTTTTTACGAATTGGTCAAACCCAAACTGAAACAAAAACATTGTTTTTTAATCGTTATTAGTCTATCGATTGAACAGAATTTTATTATAAACAATTGTCTTGTAAATGGAATTTTTAAAGCATTCTGAATGTAAAAATAAAGAAAAAAAGTGTGCAAGACAATAAGAAACACTACCTGCTAAAAAAAGTGAAGTTTTGTTGAAATCGGTTGAAAAATGTAGGAAATCCGATCCCATATATAAACGAACACACACACACACAAACAACCTGGGTTTTATAATAAGTATAACTCGATATGAGTTGTCCCCCTTTCATTAATTTCAGCAATGCCTCTTAATCGTGTTTTCAAATTGATTTCGTTCAAAAACAATTGTGTTTTTCCAATTTTTGGCGCTGTCAGAACCACCACAAGGTAATTTTACGTAGTCCTGTGAAGTTTTGTTGAAATCGGTTGAAAAATGTAGGAAATCCGATCCAATATATAAACGTACAGACACACACACACACACACACACACACACACACACACACACACACACACAATCTGCATTTTATAATAAGTAAGATTCAATAAATATGAAGGATTTTCAATTCTAAGCAATTTCGTCTGTAAAAAAATAGGATGTTAATGAGTTAAATAGTTCCAGCATCTTAGCGTAGTATGAGTTTATTAAGGTATAAAACTTAATTATTAAATCCAGTCTATTCCCTTAACCTTTTGGCCTATAGTGTACACCCCCATATATATATATATATATATATATATATATATCATTTATTTATTTTAGGATATTAAAACAAAAGCATGTTAATAATCGCTACACAATGGCAATTATGTTTCAACAATACAAATGTGTCTCCACGGGTGATGGTAAACTACTGGCGAGCCTAGGAGACTCATTTGTAGTGTGGAAATATATTGCCATTGTGTAGCGATTTTTAACATATATTTGATTTAATATAAAGTAGATAATATTTAGCTCTACTCTGTATTGAGCCCACTTTTAAATTAAATGTTACGGTCAGTGGGATTATACTCCATTTGTTCTCATTTTTTATATATATATATATATATATATATATATATATATATATATATATATATATATATATATACGCGTGTGTCTGTATGCAAATTATAAATATCAGTGTCCTCTTTATCTATCTATCTATCTATCTATCTATCTATCTATCAATCAGTCTGTCTAGTATCTATCTATCTATAGACCCTTTCAGTATCTATCTATCTCATTTTGTTTGTATCTATGTATCAGTCTATTCCTTATCTATCTATCTTGTTTGCCTGTTCAGTATCTATCAGTCTGTTCAGTATCTACCTCTCTAGTTTCGGGGTCTGGTTGAGCCAGCTTCTCCCCCTTTGCCGTACTAACGCGTAATCTATTTTCCTCTAGGCTCTGATCAGTCAACAAATAGCTTTACAACCGCCAGACAGCTATAGACGTTGTCCTTTTCTCTCGCTTTAGCGGTGAGTTTAACTCTCACTGGGTGAAAGTTAAACCAGACTAAGCTGATCTCAGCGAATATTGATATTCAACGGGAGCCTGTGTACGTGCGTGACGCTAAAGTACATTTAGGCATACGTACGATGAATTTACGGTTTAAATCGCCGAAGTTAAGCAACGTTGAGTCTGATCCGTACCTAGATGGGTGACCGTTTGGGAATACCAGGTGCTGTAAGTTTGGATGTGCGAGTGCTATGGCATACAGCGACGTCAAGTTGAAACACTTGTTCTCGTACAATGACTGAAGTTAAGCAACATTGAACCATGTCAGTACTTAGATGGGTGATAGCTTGGGAATACCAGGTGCTGTAAGCTTGGACGTGCGGGTGCTATGGCATACAGCGACGTCAAATTGAAACACTGGTTCACGTACAATCACCGAAGTTAAGCAACGTCGAGACTAGTCCGTATCTAGATGGGTGACCGCTTGGGAATACCAGGTGCTGTAAGCTTGGATGTGCAGGTACTATGGCATACAGCAACGTCAAATTGAAACACTGGTTCTCGTACGATCACCAAAGTTAAGCAACGTCGGGAGTTGTCAGTATCTAGATGGGTGACCGCTTGGGAATACCAGGTGCTGTAATTTTGGATGTGCGGGTGCTATGGCATACAGAGACGTCAAATTGAAACACTGATTCTCGTACAATCACCGAAGTTAAGCAACATTGAACCATATCAGTACCTAGATGGGTGATAGCTTAGGAATAACAGGTGCTGTAAGCTTGGATTTAAGATGCCGAAATCTAAATATTTTTGGAGATAATAATAATTTCTTGACACAGGTCTTACAAATTATCCCATAAATGAGGAAGAAGTGGTGGATTAATTCATTTCCGAAGGGTATTTGCACGTAATTGAATATAACGAACCCACCTGGAATTAGAACTCAGCTCTCCGATTCCGAGTCATTTTCCATTACACCATCCGCACATCCAAGCTAACACCACCTGGCATTCCAAAGCAGTCACTCATCTAGATACTGACCATGCTCGACTTTGGTGATCGTACGGAAACCAGTCTTCAACGTGGTGTAAATTTATATATATATATATATATATATATATATATATATATATATATATATATATATATATATATATATATATATATATATATATATCATATAATAGTTCATTGAGTCTATACCTCTCTCTCTTGAGTGGGTTGTAAGACGTTTATTTATCATCTCTCAGTTGCGTCTCTGTCTTTGGGCGGAGTGCACTCATGGGTGACTCCGTCGCAAGGGAGAAAAATTATATTGAGAGGTGCCCTGACCTGAGGAACAGCTTCCCGAGGCCACGCCCTCTCATTTCACCAGGGAGAGGGATCGTTGCTCGTAGCGAAGCCAGCGCAGCAGACGGTTTTGATGAGTTGGGGGTGCGGGCAATTCTTGTTCCTGGCCCAGGTCTACGCGTTTGGGTCCCCACCTTAAAAAAGACCTTGTGTCACAACTTGTCTAAAGAATCCTTAGCAGAATCTAGAAAGTACTGGACATCCTTTTTTTTTACCCAATACCAAGAATCGAAACCGGTGCGTTACGATACAACGCAAGCGTCATACCACATATATATATAAATAAAAAAAAAGAAATGGACAAAGTCCGACAATTTATTTATTAAAGATATTTTTATGTTTAAGGTTCTTTTTATAGATACAAGTATTTAAGTAAATGCTCTGTTTATAATAAACAGTATTAAATAACATTTACCGGCCTGAATGTCCGAGAAATTTTCATGGAAAATATTCGTCCCTTGACAGGATTCGAACCTGCATCCTATACGGACAAGGCACGTCAGCGTAAATGACGGTTCCGTATAAGATGCAGGTTCGAATCCTGTTAAAGGACGAATATTTTCTATTAAAATTTCTCGGACATTCAGGCCGGTAAATGTTATTTAATACTGTTTATTATAAACAGAGCATTTACTTAAATACTTGTATCTATAAAAAGAACGTTAAACATATATATATATATAAAATTTTGCATACATTTATCTAAATACATGGAAACGTTTAAATATACGCAGATTTGGTTAAAAATGTTTTTCTATAAAAAAAAACGACATTGTCCGCGTGCGTGTGTGTATGAGTGCGTGAGTGCATGTATGTGTGTGCCTGAGTGCGCACGCGCGCGCGCGTGTGTGTGTATTCCTCATTTTGTGTCTGCGTTTAACAAACGCGATTCGCTTGGAGCTTCAAATTTCCTTTCCGTCTCTTTCGTCAATGACGTCATCTTGCCAAAGTGTACAAAGGTCACCGGAAGTCTCTCATTATCTTAAATTCACGCTAACACTTCCAAAAACAAAGCAACTTTTATAACTCGTGCTGCAGGTGGGTCGATCTCAAGTGCGCCAATAACTGAAAATGGAAGCGACCAGCTTCAGGATACAGAAAATTTACAGATTCTGCTTTATCATCTTTTAGATATTTTTTTCCCCCTTCTCCTTCGAGATTGAAGATCCTGAACTGCATCCGGGTGTTTTTTTTTTTTTTTTTTTAACATCTGTGAATACATGCGATCGTATTCGTACTTGTCAGGATCTAGATATCAGTCTGTGTGTGAATATTTCGAGATTGTCAAAGCTTCATTTAACAAGACCAAACAAGAGAATTAAGAAGATTGCATACCGTCAAAGAGAATTGTCGTTTCTCCGGATCTGAGGGCTTGATTATGCTGAATCACAGATTAAAACATGCCGGTTGCAAATATCCAACTACCTCAACCAACATTCAATGTAGAATTTTACCCTATAAAGGCGAACATCACATTTGAAGCTCTATTCGTTTCAAAATCCATTACTCTCTGCCTTCCTACAGCAGTCGGGCACGTAACGAGCAGTAAACATCGACCGTGTTGATATTCGAACCCGGGTCTCATGGTCAGAATAGATACATACATACATACATACATACGAGAGTTCAATCTCTATGTACCGTGTCCCTTAGTGACGCAGGCGATCATAGCTCTCCACAATTTCTTATCCTTTGTAGCTCTTAATAAACTATGTCTTTTTCTTATTTCTTCTAAACCCTGTTCCGCCATTCGTTCACTCAAGCACACTAAGTGTGTTATGTGTTGTTTGTTTATATTCTCTCCTGTGAGTATCAAATTTTCCATGCCCTCATTCCTCACTATGTGCCCTAGAAATTTCAAATGTCTCTTTCTAATGTTAAATATAAGTTTTCTCCTTCTTTCCATTTTCTCTAAAACTTCGGCATTGTTCGTATATTCGGTCCACGGCATCCTCAGCATCTTTCTGTAGAACCACATTTCTGTTGCTTCAAGTCTCTTTTACATCTGTGAGGAGATTGCCCAGCATTCAGCGCTATATAAAAGGACAGTTATCCATATTCAGTACACTATTTTTTGTTTCTTACTACCCTATCGAATATATATATATATATATATATATATAGATAGATAGATAGATAGATAGATGTAGATAGATAGATACTGAACTGACTGATAGATAGATAGATAGATAGATAGATAGATAGATAGATAGATAGATCGACTCATACATACATACATACATACATAATAGCTGACCACTCGTATTCGAGGATACCCGTCTACTAGGGCGGCTAACCAATCCCTATTGCAGACGCTCGCGCAGGAATATTTGTGTTTGCTCAACACTCACAGAGCCCACCTGCGGTTTATACTGTAACAATGCTGAGCAGTCCTTAGTTACAGTTTCTGGGAGAGAGCGTGTTATCTGGCGTGATTAACAATTTTAACAAGGCCAGCACGCTCAAAGCCTCGGCCACGATGACTTGTAGCTTCGTGCTAGCACAGCTATCGATGGCCCTCAAGAGTTCCGTCTACCCAATTTAACTCAGAAGGCTTGGGTCAACCAGTGGTATGGATTTTCAGGCTTACCAAAGTTGCCGAACGCTGGGATCGACCTCGATACATTCCGGAAACATCGACGGTGTTGAGATTCGAACTCGGGTCTCATGGTCAGAAAGCGAAAACGTACATACATACATACTTACTTACTGAACAGACTGATAGATAGATAGATAGATAGATAGATAGATAGATAGATAGATAGATACGCGAGTTCAAGTTTTAAAAAATCCGTATTATTTGAGGACTCTAACGTCTTGCTGATTACTCTCCGATTGTTCTCGCTCCTTATTAATGTTTGTTTTCTAATTCTTCCACATCCAGTAACCCCTTGTGTCTTAGTTGTTTTACTGCCTTATTTGGGGCGAACTTGATTATATATATATATATATATATATATATATATATATATATATATATAAGGCAGGATGTGTGTGTGTGTGTGTGTGTGTGTAAACGAATGCACGGCCGCTATTTTCGAGGGATTTGCACCAAAATTTACATGCACATGCTCCAAGTTAGCAGAAAGGCCAAGACCGACTTTGCATTTCCCAACTCCCATCGATAGTGGAAATAATCGATTTTTTTCATGCTTCTACGGCAGTTTTCATGTAGTTTGCGGTCATTTTGTACTGGCGAGACATAGAGCCTGTAGCTGGCTGCCACGAATAGGCAGGAAGATTCTATTGGCCAGCGTGAGAGCCAACAGCTGACTGACACGAATGTTAACTAGCATGCTAGCATGCAAAAAAAAAAAAAATCGATAGCTGCATTCGTCACAAGTGGGAAAAATTTAAATCTGTATGGCACTTTACTCCAATTGGCTCATTCGCTGGTTTAAACTCAACGTTGATTCTGATTCCGCAGAACTGGGTTGCGTGTGAAAAAGTATTTGTTGTTAACATTCTTTTTTTCATTCGGTTTTTCCAGTTACGAGTCCTTTTTTTAAAGCTGATCGTTTTGTGTTCATTTTGTTTAGTTCTTTTTTCGTAACAGATTTAATGTTTAGTATAGAGCTTAGAAAAAAATCGCAGTGTGAGATAGGCAAGAAGTAAGGCATGTAGCAACATCAGCATGGCAAAGGACACTCCTTTAAAGGCAAGGAAGGACAAAAATATTTTAAGTCAAGTGATAGCGATTGCTGTACGATTTTTGAATCAAGCACGGGCAACGCCAGGCCCTTCTAGTATATATATATATATATATATATATATATATATATATATATATATATATATATATATATATATATATATATATACAGGGTGTATCAAAAATACATAAAATATATATATAAATAGATAGATATAAATAGAATGACAGATAAAGTACCTCGACTGCGTAAATTTAAGCGTGTTACTAGATTGGCAACTAGGTCTCACTGTTTTACTCCTGAACTCGTTAGATGCAACCACCACTTCTATTCTAACAGTTTCTTTTCTCGCACTTTTCCCGTATGGAAGTCCCTTCCGATTTCTTGCTTCCCTGTCAACTACAATCTTCGAAACTATAAATGTAGCTTCATTCGCCATCTTCTGTTTTCCTAAACCCTGTTTCTTTGTTGTTCTTTCTTCATTTCTCCTCGATAAAATATTTTTTGACTCTCGTTAATTCCTTGTATGATTCCCGCTGGTTTGTAGTGGTATTATCGCCTTAATTGGGGTGAAATGATTACCCCCCCCCAACAAAAACAAATGTGAACTTTGAAACTGGGCTTACGTCATGGATAACTGCGTACTATTTTTGCTGTTCTTTTTTTAAAAATTCGTAATAGTACACATATATCAATGACTTAAGCACAGTTTCACACTTGACATATGTAATTGATTGTTTGATTCGTTTTGTACAGCTTATCATGAATCAAGATTATTTGATTAGTTTTCTACGGCTTATTTCAAGCCAGAAAATATTTTCAGATTCAAAATATTTTTGTGATGGGGTAGATAATAATGGTTTAGAGACACAAGTCTTATTAATTAACCCATAGCTGAGGGGAGAAGAGGTGGCTTTATACCTTTACCAAGTACATTTGCGCATAAGCGAATATAACGACCCCAACAAGAATTGGAACTGAGTTCTCCTACCAACAATTCCGAACCGCTATTTCACTACACCACAAATCCAAGCTTACAACATCTGGTATTTTCAAGCGGTCTCCCATCTAGGTACTGATCATGCTCGACGTTGCTTAACTTCGGTGATCGTACGAAAACCGGTGTTTCAACGTGATGTTGCCGTAAGCTTTGGCATTTGTAAATAAAAACAAAGTACAGATAACTCTTTTAAAAAGTCAGTGGTCGATTTGACAGTCTATTTGTATTTTGAACAGGAGCGTCTTCTAAAAATGATAAAAAATCAATATGTTTCGGTTCCAACAAATGTCGTTACGTGAGAAAAGGTTTGATAAATATAAGTCTACAAAAAATTATTCTCCACCAAATTTCTCTTTATTTTTTTTTTTACCAGGGGACCAATAAATTTAAGTAGTTCCATGAAATCATCTATATGGATAGCCTAGCGATTCAGTTCTAAACTAAACTGTTGAGTCCTCTTATGTCGAAATCGACTGGAGAGTCCACTCTAAATATATCCTGGAAATTCTGACAATATAACTTGTTTAATAGCAATTTGATTGAGAATACATTGACTTACATAAGAAAACCTGACACGGTGAACCTATTGCGACTACGTAATTTTATTGTACGAAATGTTCGTCTCTTACGTTCATGGCGATGACATTAATTCAGTCATCCAGTTTTCTTTTGTTTGCGTTTTTCTTTATATTTTCTGGTCGCTTTTGTTTTGTTCAGCGTCTATCCACGCTCATCGCCGTTACTTTGTTCACGCTGCACTGTACCCTCGTCTGAGTGAATCTCATTATTTACATAATCATTCAGGATTTTCATTCGTAACATAAGCTTCTCGATAATATGCAACGAAAATCTCCTTTTACATTCTTCTTCTTCTTCTTCTTCTTCTTCTTCTTCTTCTTCTTCTTCTCCTCCTCCTCCTTCTTCTTCTTCTCCTCCTCCTCCTCCTTCTTCTTCTTCTTCTTCTCCTCCTCCTCCTCCTTCTTCTTCTTCTCCTCCTCCTCCTCCTCCTCCTTCTTCTTCTTCTTCTTCTTCTTCTCCTCCTCCTCCTCCTCCTTCTTCTCCTCCTCCTCCTCCTCCTCCTTCTTCTTCTTCTTCTTCTTCTTCTTCTTCTTCTTCTTCTTCTTCTTCTTCCATGTGCCGTGTCTCTTTGTAAGTGGCTCTCCACAATTTCTTCTCCTTTGTTGTTCTTAATAAATTTTGACTTTTTGTTACCGCTCCTGAACCCTGTTCAGCCATCAAGCTAACTAAGTATGCTATGCGTTGTTTTTCTCTGGCTCTCTTGCCTTTAGTCTGTCAGAGCATCTAATTTTCCAAGCCCTCTTTTCTCATTATGTGTTCTAGAAACTTTAGCTCTCTTTTCCTGGTGTTAAGTATAGCGATTTTCCAAGCGTACCTTAGATGTGGCACAAGGTCGAAAATAGGGGACACCCAGTGCGGATCGAACTCACTACTCAGTCGTATTTGTTTTAGCGAGATAAGCTTGCTAAACACTACAACGCCTCGAAGTTACCAGTTTTTTTTTTTTTTAATTTTCTCCTCCCGAATGAGAGGTACTGCCTCGTAATAGGGTCCCTGGTGCTTGGGCTAATATTATTTTCAACTTTCCAGATAGAAGCCAGATAAGTATCAATATATAGTGATTTACTAAGCGTAGCTTAGATATGGCACAAGGCCGTAAGTATGGGGTACCCAGTGAGAATCGAACTCACTACTCAGTCATAACTGTTTTAGCGAGACAAGCTTGCTAACCATTAAACGACACCGATGTACCCAAAGTGATTTTTTCACGCATATCTTAGATGTGGCACAAGGCCAAAAGTAGTGGGGGACACCCAGTGAGAATTGAACTCACTACTCTGTCGTAATTGTTTTAGCGATAAAAGCTTGTTAACCATTACACCATCTCGAGGTGCCCCTGGTGTTAAGTATAAGTTTCCTTTTTGATTCTGTTTTCTCTAAAATTTTGTCGTTACTCACATATTCGGTTCATGCTCCCCAACATCCTTCTGTAGAACCACATTTCTGTTGCTTCAAATCTCTTTTTTCATATTTTTTCAGATTATTCCGTTTGCCTTTAATCTGTGCTGTGACTATCTAATTTTCGATGCCCTCTCTCTTTTTGTTTCCACTATCGCCAAAATTTTCGGTGCATGGTATTCTCATCATCCTTCTGTAGGACTACATTTCTGTTGCTTCTACACTCTTTGATATCTTGAGGGGATTGCCCAGCTTTCACTGCCATATAGGAGGACTGATATTACGAAACAGTTTAGCACGCTTTTCTTTATCTGTCTATATTTCTGAGATGAGGTATTATGTATATTATTTACATTATTCGGACTATTATCCTCATCTTTGTCGCCATATTTATTACAACGTTTCGGCCGTTGTATGTTCCAGCCTTCTTCAGGTGGTTGGAATGTCAAACTGAACCAAGCATAGAAATGAATACAACATGGGAACCAGTAATAAGGAGTGACAGAGAAAAGAGATAATAACAATGAAAATTGTAATATGAGCATTGGTAAAAAGTTTGCCGAAGACATTAGGTTTATAATACCCAGAAATTTATACTCAGATGTCCTCAATGGCACAGTGTATATAGGCGTTAGTTAGATCCAGTGACTTGATCCAAAAAGTCTGAGTTCAATACCCGGTTCAGTCAGTGGGGAACATTCAGAGGGGAATTAACAGGAGATAACGGATAACTGTCATCAATCAAACATGGCACGTGGAACTAGAACAGTCTACCTCAGTGAGCGAAAGAAAGGTTTCAGTTAGACATTCCAACCACCTGAAGAAGGCCGGAGCGTACAACTGCCGAAACGTTGTAATAAATATGGCGACGATGATGAGGACAATAGTCCGAATAATGTTGTTTCTAACGAAATTTTCATGTTTCTTAATACTTTGCCGAGCTTTTGGAAGGCATCTTTTGCTATCCTAATGCGCTTTCGGATTTCGGTCTCGAACTTACCGTCCCCTGTTGATACACATCCTAGATATTTAAATTGTACTTGCTTGATTTTGGCATCTCCATTTTGTAATTTGCATGTTGGGCTGTCCCTTTTGCTAACAGAAAGTTAAATAAATGGCTATTCTTCGTCGCAAGCCGCTTGCAAATTAAAAAAATGCTTTAATGGGAGCGCAAATTTAACGAAACTTTAATGAATATGTCTTTGATTTTATCACTGTTTTTTTTTCCAAAAATATAACTTTCCGGATATTGTCTGTCACAATATCTATGAAAATTATTATACCGAAGATTGTGTCTATCATCCCTACGAGCCTTTAACAATACACATTAATACCATTATCATCTATTACCATACACACCATCATGGCTAAAAGAATGGCTAATACCATTAATATCTTATTTGCTATTTTTATTAAACACTTCATTACTGGTCAGGCAACTATGGCAAACACTTCAAGAGACTTGAACATTCATGTCTTGTAGAGTTAATTGCTAATGATAATAATATTCGTTTCTTTAGTAATCCTGACTTAGGTCAAGTAACTGGATCCAACCAACACTTTTATGGATAAAGTAAATAAAAGTGTTGGTTGAATCCAGTGACTTGATCCAAAAAAGTTATGAGTTCAGTACTCGTCTACTGCAGTGGTGAAGGAAAACTTAGATTTGAGTTAAAGGGAGATAACCGAGACAGCCGGAAGAGGCATGACATGTGAAACTAGAACGACCTACCTCGGTGGACGAAAGAAAAGGTTCAGTTCGAAATTCCAATCACCTGAAGAAGGCCGGAGCGTACAACGGCCGAAACGTCGTGAATATGGCAACAAAGACGAGGACAACAGTCAGAAGAATGTAAATTGTGTAAATAATGAAACCTTCTGGATGTTTTTTTTCCAATTATTGTTTATTTTGTTTTTCAGTTCTGAGCCGTTATCCATTACACCACTCGCACATCCAAGCTTGCAGCATTATTAGAAGCGGTCACTCATCTAGGTATTGACCAGGGTCGACGTTGCTTAACTTCGGTGATCGCACGGAAACCGGTGTTTCAACGTGAAATGTCCGTAAGCCATACCAAACTTACAGCATCTGTTATCCCCAAGTTAAGTCACCCATCTAGTTACTAACCAGACTCGACGTTGCTTAACTTCGGTGACTGTACGGTAACCAGTGTTTCAACGCGAAATAGCCGTATGCCAAACCACTTGCACATCCAAGCTTACAGCATCTGTTATCGTCAAGGGAACACCCGTCAAGGTAATAACCAGACCTGATGTTGCTTAACTTTGGTGATCATACATGAACCGCTATTTCGACTTGATATAGCCGTATGTCCTTTATATCACCTGCACATTCAAACTTACATCTGGCATTCCTAAGCGGTCACCCATATAGGTACTGACCAGGCTCGACTTAGCTTAACTTCAGTGATCTGAATAGAACTTGTGCTTCAACGTGTTATAGCCGTAGTGATTTTCTAAGCCCGGCTTAGATGTGGCATAAGGCCGAAAGTATGGGGCACCCAGTGAGGATCGAACTCACTCCTCAGTCGTAATTGATCAAGTAAGACAAGCTTTCTAACCACTACACCACGTCGAGGTGCCCTAACGTGTTATAGACGTAAGCCACTATGCCATATGCGTATGCTTAAATCTACTTTTGCGTCACACACGTCCGCTCGCGCGGAGAGGCTCCCGTTGAATATCAATATTCGCTGAGATTAGCTTAGTCTGGTAGAAGAAGCATCCAGTGAGAGTTAAACCCACTGCGCTAGCGAGGGAGAAGGACAACATCTATAGTTGTCTGGCTATTTGTCGACTGGGGAAAATAAATTACTCCTTATTATGGCAAAAGGGAGAGAAGCTGGAAGAACAAGACTCCGAAATTAGATAGATAGATAGATAGATAGATAGAAACTAGATAGATAGATAGATAGATAGATAGATAGATAGATAGATAGAAACTAGATAGATAGATAGATAGATAGATAGATAGAGATAGGTGCCTCAAAAATGAAACGACACTTACGTTTTAAAATAAATGTTAAAAATTGAAAAGTCTTTCTTGAGGCTTTTATTTTAGTTTGAATTTCAAGCTAATAGATTAACTTTAATATTTCCAGTAATCAAATACTTTGGTGTATTTCAAAAACTAATTTAAAACTCATTTAAACTGAGTGGAAGGGTTTTTTTTTCTTCTTTATTTTCCTTAAATATCTGATTAGCGCTCTTTTTTTAGTCGTCCTTCATCGCAATATAATTTTCTTTATTAAAAAATCTTCCCAAAATAAAATAAACTTTTTTGCAACTTTATTTGAAGAATATTAACCGATTTAAAGTATAATTAATCTTATTTGAGCGCGTGTTTCAACGTGATATGCTCGAAAGCCTCTAGTTATTTGGGAAATAAATTCTAAAAGGAAAGCTTTTAAGTAAATAATTAATTAAATAAAAAGGAACCTGTTTAATAATTTGAAACCGACTTAAGATTTTCTCAATTTTTTTAATTTTTTTTTTTTAAGAGATGATGGATTACTTTCGTAACCAGATGTTACTGAATTCGTCTAACAGATGTTCATTAACCTAATAACTCGAGTGCCCTACATTTGTAGCCCTGTGTCAAACTGCGGTAAACTTAGAAAATAGTTCAATATATTTAATAGAGCAGTATAACAAAAAGGAATGGCCTAATCAGTGGCATAGCTAGAGTAAACGTCACCCGGGGCGGTCCGCTCAAATGTCACCCCAATGACCCCGATTCACCCTATGCTGAATGGTTAGCTGTAGCTAAATTTTCATATATGCTCTACCTCTACTTTACTCTACTGACCGGTACGTTACTGTTTACATGTATGATCCAAGACAAAATCCAATACCACAAAATAATCAGTTCAAATCAAAAGATTTTTAAAATGCAACTGTTCACTTTCAGAACAACTAAATACAAAACACGGCAATACACAAAAGAATGACATTCGATACTATGGTCTTAGAATGAATGTTTTTTGTTTTCATTGTGACAAACTGGTTAATGACATCGTCAAAATCTGTTTGTCTTGTAAGCTCGTTTTCAATGGACAGCACAGCCAGATCCGACAGTCTCGACTGTCTCATGGTTGACGTAATTTTCTGTTGCTAATTTTCCGGTGTCCAATTTTCCGTTGCATCATTTTCTGGGTACCATTTAATTATCAATGATGTTTGAAAGTATTTTTCTTGACAAAAATGTTCTATTTAATTTTTAAGCATTTTTCGGGACATTGTAAATCAACTGCATTCTTTTAAAGGTTACCTAGAGAATTTATGCAAAGTTTATTTTTTGTTTTCCTTTATACAAGTAAAATAAACTTACATCGTATTTTGATTTTATGATTTTAGTTTTAGTGATAATTCAAAAACAATAAATATTTATCATTAGTACCAATAATGGAAAATTAAGTTAAAAATTTAAAAGAATCGTTTTTGGAATCGGAAAATAGGCACACTTTTTTCCGACTCCGATACAGTTTCCGATACCCCAACGGGCCAAAAAGTTCCGATTTTTCCGATTCTCGATTCCGATTCCGATTAATCGTCCCATCACTAGTAGATATATTCAAAAGTATATCGCTCACTCAATGGGAAATTGTATCTCAGCGAATTGATACACAGGCAAGACTGAAATTGTTGCACTTTTGGCTTCGTATTTCGCTTTGTTGTTATTAATGATGCAGAGTTAATACACCATATCATCCGATAAAATGTTACAACAATGTCTCTTGTTAGTAACCGAGATTGTAGCAACTGAAACACATGAAAGCTGAAAACATTGCTATTTTTACTATTCACAAATTTCCTGACAATTTATTAGAAAATTTCTGACGGGGGGGACAAAACTGGGGGGTCATAAATTATTTCTGGTGGGTCATATGCCCGCCTGCGAAACTCTGTGTCTCCACCACTGTTTTCAGACTATTTTTGGCACCTTTGCCTGGTTGAAAAATTTTTTTGGAGGTGACATTGTGTGTCACCCATCCTGTGCTGGCACCCGGGGCGGTCCGCCCCCTCGACACCCCCCTTAGCTACGCCACTGGGCCTAACATGCAAATTGAAGGTATCAAAAACAAACAAGTAAAAAAAATTAAATATCTGGGAAGCATTGTAACAGGAGGACGGAAAGTGCGACACTGAAATCGGAAGGCGCATTGGGATAGCGAAAGATGCCTTCCAAAATCTAAGCAAAGTATTAAGAAACGGGAAAAATTTAGTTAGAAGCAAAGATAAGCCCATTGAACTGTTATGTAATATCATTCCTCCTCCACAGCAGTGAATGCTGGGAAATCTCGTCACAGATAAAGAAGATACTTGAAGCAACAGAAATATAGTACTACAGAAGGATGATGAGAATAAATTAATCGGAATATGTGAGTAACGATAAAGTTCCAGAGAAAGTGGAAAAGAAAAGGACACTAAAACTTTACCCCAGGAAGAGACAGTTGAAATTTCTCGGCCACATAACGAGGAAAGATGGCTTGGAAAATTTGATGCTTACAGGACAGATCGAAGGCAAGAGAGCCAGAGAAAAAACAACGCCTAACCTACTTGGCCATCTTGAATGAAAGGATGGTAGAGTAAGGTTTGGGAGCAATGTCGAAAAGATGAAATTTATTTATAGCTACAAAGGGAAGGAAGTTGTGGAGAGACATGATCGCCAACGTCCTGAACAGGCATGACACATAGAAGAATATAGCAAGAAACTGGATGAATCCCTTACTAAACTGCATTTTGATTATCTAGACGATCGTCGAGTTGACATGACAGATCGTTTATCGCATCATGAAGACAATAGTGATTACGAGGCGACACTTAACTCCTTCACACATAACAAGAGGCACGATCTAATGAAACAGTTATAGGTTCAAAAAGCCAAAGAACAAACTAAACTAAATCCGTATATATTCACTGAAATCTTCTTAAAAGGCATAAATCCACCTTTCCCTAAGTGAGAGTACCACACTGGTAATCTTGTGCAAAAGTAAATAATGCAATATATTCAAAAGTTGGCTTCCCCACAGAAGGTTATACTGTGAACATAGAAACTAGATGTTGTAGAGATGAGGGCTTGTCATATATTCGGGGGTGACACGTGACCCTTTGCTGATTATCATATATTTTTTCTCTTTAATGGTTAGCCCATTCTTCCCGCGAGAAAACTGCAGAAATTCTGTGATAGACTGTTCTACCGAGGCTGTGACTGTTCGCAACTCCTGTTGAATTATCTGCCTTGGGCAGAGAGGAACCCAGACGAAGCTTTGCCGAATGGCAAAGTTTCGTCCGAGACGGTAGACAGCACCTGAGGCCGTTTGCACGGGTTCTACGGGAATATTTTTGGCCGAGTCTACGGGCTCGGTGAACCCACGATAAACTCGGCCTTGTGCCACATGCATCCCCCGTGGAGAGAGGGGGCTGTTAAATATTAACTAAATTCCTAGAAAAGATAACAAAAGGCATTCTTCTATCCCTTCAGGCGATTATAGCTCTCCACAATTTCCTGTCTTTCGTAACTCTTAATAAATTTTGCCTTCTTACCATCTCTCCCAAACCCTGAACTGCTAGTTAGGTTATGCGTTGCTGTCTCTCTTGTCTTCAATCTGTCCTGTGAGTATCAAATTTTCCAAACCTACTTTCCTTATTATGCACCTAAGAAATTTCAATTGCCTATTCCTGATGTTAAATATAACTGTTCTTTTTCTTGCCATTGTCTCTAGAAGTTGATCACATGTTCCATACATGCATTTTTTTTTCACTATCCTTCTGTAGAACCCCAGAAGTGATTAGTAAAATCCCTAAAAAAAAAAATTAATGAGTATCCACAAGGAGGGCCTCTGCTTATTCATTCATCTCTCGCGGTTGGAATAGGCAGAGGTGATGGAGATTTGTTCAGAATTTAATAAAGCTGTGGTTCGGAGAGATCTTAGGAGAGAGTAAGAATTAATTTGTTCGAGTGTTGGAATGGTATGATTGATTTATTTATTTGTTTGGCTGCACATCAACTCCTTATGGGTCATTTAATGCCGAAATTAAAAAAATTCTAGGGAGTTTTGAAGTAAAAAAATATGATATACGTTATTCTGCTTTCGCAATTGAATACATGGTAGATGATACTCAGATTTTGTGGATATACATGTTTGTATGGACAATTACTAGAAGCGGTGATATGTATGTTTTATGCTGTACCTTTGTCGAAGTTATATTTTGGAATACAGGTTGCTTTAAGAAAATGTACGATATTATATGGAATAATGTCATGAAAGAGTTGTTTGCTTGGTTGATTTTGTTTGGCGGCATATCAACATCTCTATGGGTTATTTAATCTAAATATTGTGTACGTAATTTTATGCTTTCAACAACAGATAATTTGTAAGTAATTCTATACTTTCTGATAAAGGAACGTTTTTTTAGTCATATATTTTCTAGATCTCGAAAGCTA